GTAAAATACCTTTTTCACACAAAGTAGGTAAGAGAGAATATGAAGCTAAATATACACTTAAGTTATAAAATTTTTTTAGGTCGTGTCAAAATATTATTAAACGCCCACGAGGCCGATTCCGTTGCGAGAAAATGTCGCCTAAGAGGAATGTCGAAGAAACTTGGCGAATGTCGATCGATCGCAATCAATTCCTGATATTAACAGAATGTCAAGAGGTTGACCTTTAGTGTTCAAACTGCGTGGTCGATAGACATAGTGATACCGAGTGTTTCCCGTTGGTCTGGTAAATGGATTTTGTTTTCGAATTGACGGGATTTTTTTTCAGATTGATATGACAGCTGGCTGCTCGTCAAGATAGAAATAGAAACCATTTATTACATAACGCCACAACACAATAACACAAAGTGAGAAATTTAAAAAAAGATGAAGCTAAGTTAAAACAAAAGTAAAATAGAATTTAAAAAAATAAATAAAGTTAATTTAAAATAAAATCTTAGTAAAAGGTAATGATGACCATAAAGGTAGTTAACAATATTGTGTGCGGCTGGGGCGTATGAAAAAAAGGCTGTGACGCTGATTTTCAGTGGACCCTAAAACCAAGTGAGTAAATATGTATATTTCTGTAATGTAGTATGGTGTGTTTTCTTATATTTATAGAATACTTAAATAATTCATTTGATACATATATACAGCGATAAGCGTGTGCAATGTAGTGTCCATTATTTACAACAAACAAAATAGAACTTATGTTTTGTTTAAAAAGATACCGATTACGAGATTTGTGTCACGCGGGCGACGCATGACATATGACACATGACATAGAAAAATATATAATCAAGGTCAAAACAGTTTTGAATTTTATTATTTACTCTTATCAATGGAGTGTAACATTTCGTCGAGTATAGTGCGTATGCAGCATTGGAAAAAGGCGCGTATCTGCACGAAGCCAAATTTTACAGGAGAGATATTTAATTTATTTATTTAGTTCATATGTACCTTAAGGACTTATATACATACCTCGGAACCGCCGAACATAAGACACCCTTCGGCCAAAATTCTTCCTTCATGAAGGTCGACAGATGTTCGGTCGGTACTCTCATCACAAGCGAATAGAAATTCACGTTGTGGCGAAACTCCAACCGCTTGACCCTCATTTGGTTTTACGTCTGATGTACTCCACTATCTCCTCAGAGTTCGTGGAGTAATGCAGTCGCGACAGGTACAGCAGCGTCGCCAGTGTGGCCGGACACAGCAGGAAGTTCGGTCTTGTCGGTGCTGTGTCACTGGTTACGGCAGGTGGGCTTCCGCTTCTTCTTCTCCACTTTTGTGAAGCCGTCCTCGTCGCACCGGTCCACCTGACTCTGTGGTTTTGCAACTTCAGAGACAGGCGCACGGGGATTACTTTTTCCCTTAGCAGATTGCCGCCGCTCGGGTTTCAAAGTGGCGGGTCGGTTACTTAATGTAATTACTTTGTTATTTCAACGGTTGGTACTTTCATTTTTGCACAGTAAGCATTATTATGTTGTCTACGGACTGATAACAATAAATTTGGTTGCCACGACATATATATGTGGATTTGCTTTGGACACTAAATTACCGAAATGGAAACTCATAATCCTAGTTACGCGTAATTGCACTATACCCGACGATTTGAAAAGAAGACGATTTTCTACTTCCTAAATTCATACTAAATGTCAACGTTTAAATATTTTTATTCAAGTTAACATAGTGAATATGTTGAATCACGATTTGTTTGTGAATTCATATGAAAATAAAATTGGTATGGCAAAATACTGGCACGAATTCGTCTTTTGACAAAGATTATTTTGGCGCGGGAATGACATTACGATGTGCTTCGTTAAATTTTTTTTTTTTTTAATAAAAGCATACTTGACAGATTTGTTAAAAATTAATATTTACATATTTATTTGTAACATAGTGTAGCGGTAATTGGAATGTTCCTTGTAAAATTAAAAATATAAGGTATTTAATTAATAACTTTGCCTAACTGCCTCTGTGGCCGAACGGTTACCATGCCGGACTGCCATGCAGAGGTCCTGGGTTCGATTCCCAGGCCGGGAGAAATATGTGTAAGGCCTACATTTATTTCTCCCGTGAGTTTGGGTGTAATTTGTGGTTGTCTATGTGTCTGTCCATGGCACCCGCGACACAGGGTTTCCCTAGTACGGGGCTATGTTGAGTGTGTGCGTTATTATTATTATTATTACTTTTGTAACTATAAATAAATAATCGCCCTTAGGAAAACCCTGTATCGTTAGGTGCCATGGACACGCATAGAATACCTCAAATTACAGCCAATCTTACGAGGTAAATAAATGTAGGCCATAAAAATATTTCTCCTGGCCCGGGAATCGAACCCGGGACCTCTGCAGGGCAGACCAGATTGGTAACCGTTCGACCACTGAGGGAGTAACTATAGTGAAAAATAAGGTAAGTTTGGTATTAGACATAACTGGATGATAACTTTACCACCTCAGTCAACGGTGACGCAAAATATCATGTTGGGACCTGTAAAGAGCCCGAAACGTTTGTTTGTTTGAAAAAACAAATATCAATTCGGAAAAATGGTTTCATTTCCTAAATAAATATTTTTTCTTATTTAGCATATTTAGTGACACCCAGTATAAGAGATATAGTAGCATGTTGTAGTAGATATTGATAAAACAATATTATTTCGAAATCGAGAAATGTCGCTACATGCGAGAATCAGCCTCCCTGTGTAAGTCGTGTATTATCCCGACTCCAGGTGTTGATGTATTGCATTCTCCGTAATATCAAAAGGTGTTAGGTTTACGATTGAAAACCTTCAAAGGGGTCGTTGGGTGTCGAGTTGGAAAAGAAATTTCTCATACAACCAATAGTTATGTCTATAGTCTATTTAAGTTGCGAATAGCGACCTAGTATAGGCTTCTCTCTGTCGCATTACTTCATAAAAATGACAAGGACATAAGATGGAGGCACACGGTTAAGTGGGTGCTATCAAGCGTTAAAATACTAAGGGCTCGTGCATAATGGTGTTTAAAAATAAAACGACTTTTTTAAATACATTTCTGTAATTTTTTTTTACGGAGTAAGAAGGCATCATTCCATTAAGAAAGGTAAAGTCGCAGGTGAAGAGTCACAGATAAGTAGCAAACTGAAAAAAACAACACTCGTCTTTACCTCCGTGCATATGTGATAGCCGACTAGTTAGCTTGCCATTATGAACGCGGCTTTATTGACTTATCTCTAACCAATCACGTGTTTTCTCAGTACTAGGTCGCTAACTTGAATAGACATATATATTATAGGACAGCAAATAACCATATTATATCTTTTATCTACACACATGTCATAAACCCTCTATGATGTGTTCAAAAACCGCAAATCACCGACATAGAGTTAACTATTTTGTTAGAACAAATTTCTTGTCTGTGAAAATGTTGTTATTGCTTCATAATAAAATCAAATTAGATTTTACTATTACATTCAAATTTCGAACATCTCTTTAAAACTAAACAATTTGATAGACCTCAATTCTAATATCGGTCGAGATGAAGTTTTATTCGAAATGAAATGTCAATGGCAAACAATTTTGACAAATTTGACACGTAACTTGATATCGAACGATATCGCACGGTTAATACAATAGAGTAATATTAACTCAAAAAGAGGACTTTGTCAGAATCGATGAAAAGCGAATTACTCACTTCCCGCAAAAAAATCATTAAAATTTATATGTTGTAGTTAATAAAAACACTTAAACAATTTCTCAAATATATTTAAAAATAAAATGGAAAAAATAATTTCATGTTTTCGAATAAGGATTATTTTGGCCTATTTTTGGCCACGTATAGTGTATCTCATTTCGAGTTAAGTAGATATCTTTTGATTGTTTCTTACAAAATTGTAATTACGATTTTTTTGACGTGTAGCGAATAATATTTTACATTCAATAATGATATAATATTAAATTTCACATATTTTGAGTTACAACACTATTGTAATAGCAGCGCGATATGATAGTTGAGGCCGACTCTAGTGAATTAAACAATAATTACGGTTCTGTGACATGCCTGAGAAAAGTTTTTATGTGCCGCCATTTTGTCATTCATAACATGCGGTTCCTGAACATATATATCATAGAGAGCTTATGTAAATAGGTGAAGCAGTGTATGTAACTGTACATGATCGGCATTTTAATTCCTTTCATTATGTAACAGTCATATAAACTACTACTAAATTTAATTTTGTTCCTATAATCTCAAATTCTTGTTGCAAAAATGTAGTCAGTACTGAAGAACTTTTACTGCGAGGACTATGAATCCTCAGTTTTCCTGATAAATAAAGGAAAATAAAACAATTTCTTTGACTGGTTTCCAAAAACACTGTTTATTTAAACCTTCCTGTAACAACTTTAACGACAAACTTAAACTTAAAAGCAACTTGTAATCATAAACTTAATCACTATCATTATTAACAACTTCAATTTTAACCCTCTTCCTTTTTTGACTTGAACTTAAATTCTTTAGTAACTTCATAACTTGAATTCTAAATTCAATTTTAGCATCACGATTTAATGCCTTAACAGACGGAATAATGCTTTTAAAGAACGCTCTATCTTCATCATCTTCTTTTTCCAGCAAATTAGCTAAAACAGTAATAACGTTTTCATCTAAAGGATCATTTCTTAGTCTTTTAGCTGGAGTAGCTTCACTTTCATCTAAATAAGTATCTAGATATTCTTCACCGATCACTTGTTCATCTATTGTAATTTCATCTTCATGGTTTCCTTCAAATTGTGATTCGTTGATTTTCTCTTCTGTGAGATACTCCAAATCATCGCTATATTCTAACGTACTGTTATTATCTGCGGGTAATTTATGTATAGGGTCGAGGAATGCTAGTAAGTCAGAGTAGATGTATGGTTTCTTGGGCTTGTTGAAGACTTTCCTCTTACGACACTTGACGTAGGCGTCGCGTACATTGTACCAACGGTGAGTAAGGTTGTGCACTGTGAAAAGAAAACGTTACTTTTAACAACTGTCAAATTAAGATACTTAAGATAGAAAAGGGAATGCTTAGATAGTTTGGTCATATAGAAAGAATAGAAGATTATAGAACTAATGTGAAAGACAGATGTAAAAGCAAGATTAAAAGTACTAAGAATAAAGTGACCGATGTGTGGGTCTTGACACGATATGCACGAGTGATTTCATTTTTTTTTCTGCAACATTTAATGCCCAGCCTTATTATTATAGTTGGGCCTTCTTTGTGTCTGGGTAAAATGGTTGTTAGCGCATATACCTTATCCATTACAATTCGAAATGCGTTCCTGGCCGTGGAAAATAAATATCTTACGTCTATTGTGACTTTTCATTAGTACTGAACGTATTTACTATTTAATCTAGAGCAAAGAGGTGCAGGCACTCGTGCTTTGCAGTAGAAATAGGTAGCACGTTTGTGAAAGTAAATTAACAAGGATACGTTGACACCATATGCGAAGTTTGCGTGCGTCTCTCAGTGATTACTGAGAGACGCTTTCCGCGCGCCGTTTTTAACTCGAATATTTGCCTTATTGATTACATTCATGGACGCTTCATGTACGATTCGTTGACATTCCATCTAAAGTATCCAACGTAGCTCCGCCAAGATCACAATCTAATATGTTTAAACGAAAAACTTACTAATTTCCAACATCTGAGACTTCGTAAAATTAGCGTGTTGTGGGAACAGTTCCTTAATTATGTGAAGCCAAGCACGTTCTCTGGTAGTTTTTTCTTTATATTGCATACTGGTTCTGTCCCAAAGAGATGGCTGACTTTGTACTAGCCTTATCAATGATTTAGTACTTATTGTTTTCACGGTTGTTGCTGGGGAAATAAAACCAAGCTTAGTTTTGGACCTAAAAATGCTGGTGCTAAAATTGAATTTTGATATCATTGTATTATTATCGACTTTTCTTCAATCCTTTGTTCTAAGTCGTCACTGTTAGTCACCTACGTCTTGACTTTACGCACATAAACGACAGTTTTAACTTATTCAATATTAAGTTTCATGGCGAGTTCGATATTGTCTCCAATATCAAAATTAACTTTCCAAGTATTATATCAATAAATCCATCTCAAATACAGGATCGACATTCAAATCTTACTTAAGTTAAATATCTTTATTTCATTTGAGAACACAACAACGATTACTCGTTGATTTTGCATCATCTGAGAAGTTTTCTGTTTAACAAAAAACGTTAGTCAGCACTTAAGCTGGGATCACTTGAGATGACATCACCCAAGATGATGATGACTGTAGGCTATTAATATATCAAATCTGAGATGTAGTTTGCGATTTGGGTGCCATCTCAACCGAAGCGCATTTAAAACGAGACTAGGAGCTGAATATTAACACGGGCCTAAGCGGACAAGCATGAACTGGACGTTAGAGCAAGGACTTGCAATGATTACTTTGGAAATCATCGAAGCAAATTTTACACAGAATTCTGGTGAATAAATTCCTCGGGAGAGGGACAATAGGAATAAAAATTATTTATTCCTTTAAAAAACAATACGGTATACATGCATTTTATAATAAGAATAACAACGATTTAGGCAAAGGACTAAATTACAAATAATAAAAAGTACAAAGCGTGTGTGCAGTGCTGCAAAGGAACCGTGACCCACTCAATTTCTTTACGTCTCACTTAAAGTGCTACGACGCTGATTTTCAGCACAATGGCACTGCAAAGACGGTAAGACCAGAACCAAGTCAAATAGTACCTTACGTCATATACGCAGCCTTCAAATTTGAAACTTACAGTAGTAATTTACCTTAATTTGTGACTGCTTATAATAAGAGAACATAAATTAACAATGTGGTATATTTGGAAGTATAAGCGTCAAAATGATGTGAGCAGCGTAAAACAAAACCAAAATATATACAAACATATGAAAATCAACCTAATGTCAACAGGCTTAAAGTGCACTGTGGATTTAAATAGAAATCGCCCTTGTTTCTTCCAAAGAAAAACCAAGTTTGATAACGGGTTATCAGGAAGGACACATAATTCTTGATAGACTAATAGGTTATCTAGAATGAATTATCAACAAGTTCACCCTGAAATAATTGCGATAAGGCTGGTTTTTATCAATTATTCAGATGCTTTTGATAGATTTCAATCGCAGTCACAAGTAAAAGCTAATTAAGTAACAAATGCTTGTACAACAATCTTACCAATGCCGTTTTTTGCTATGTTTGCTAAATGTGGGTGGATCTTAATGAAACCATCATCTGAGTTATTTGAATCTTCGTGATTTGCCATCTTCCGCCAAAATCAGCTGTAAATAAATCAAAATAAATATCATTATCTTTAATATCACACAAGTCAATATCATTGTCAACGTCATTATCATTAACATCAATACAATTTTTTGCGCGTTTTTGCGTTTATCGTTAATTATTATTAATCCCACTGCTGGGCACACTCTAAGGTTAGTAACTAACATACTATACTATACTCTAGCCAAATTGGATGTAGAATGTTTAATAACAAAACGTTGCTAGGCAACCAATGATGACATAGGAAAAGAACATTTTTTTCAATGATCATTATTGAAGCTTCCTCTGCCCCCACGGCCTGCTCTCGTAATTGGAATTTAAATAGGTAAGTAGGTAATTGGGTTACGTAGAAATAATAATTACTTAGCCAATTATTATAAATAACAATAATAATATGAATTTACTACATATTATATCGTCCAGCATCTATTTCCGATTCTGAACTTGAATTACGACTAGAACTCGAATGTTTGCAATCTCTCCTTTCAAATCAAAAAGTCACTAGGGATGACACAGTTTTACAAATAATTAATTACTGGTCATTTTTGTGTCATTTTTAGGTAGTTTTAAACTTCTCTTGAATAATATTCATTATAAACATGGCTTCAAGATTTAGTATTATCCATAATCTAACTGAATTTCGTAGGAAAATATTGAAATTGTTGTAACTGTGAAAGAGTCTGGGATGAAAACCCTAAAAATCAAATGTTTTTGTTTGTTGACATTTATTCTACATCGAATTTGGCTAGAGTATAGTACCATAATTTTGAAATTGATTTCTAGAAGCGTGTTTTTATGTTATTGTTTCAATGTAACAAATACAGTGAAATAATAAATTAAATAATACATCACACTAAATACATCCACGAATTTAGTGGGGTTCGATTCCCCATATTGAACCATCATATTATAATGTGATAGAAATTAATAATAATAATAATAACGTACACACTCAACATAGCCCCGCACTAGGGAAACCCTATGTCGCGGATGCCATGGACATAAATAACCACGAATTACACACAAATTCACGAGAGAAATAAATGGAGGCCATCATTGACTTACAATTATATGGACGTCGGGTCCGCGCTAAAAAGTGCCCGAAATTATAGGACGTTAAAATGGTATACAGAGCGTCATTCAAGCTTTAGTCTTCGTTTGTTCGACTGACAGCGAAGCAAGCAAAATTAGACATTACTGCGATGACATTACAATTTAAATTCAACGTTTTAGCTTTTTCATATTCCTTTACATGTCACTACGTTTAAATAGGTTGACTTGGGACCTTTTTTTCGTGGTTTTTGTATTAGAACCGTCGTCCATTTATTTGTAAGTCAATGGAGGTCATACAAATTTTTCTCCCGACCCGGGAATCGAACCAGGGACCACTGTGTGGCAGTCCGGCACGGTAACCATTCGGCCACGGAGGCAGTTAGGCCACACTTTATATTGTACTACTTAAATTATTGTTAAAAACAAGAATCGTACTTGTGACCTCGCGAATAACATTCGCTCCATTCATTCAACTGAATCTTAAGTTAGAAAGGAAACATGTACGATGTGCGCGACTATCAACCTTAATGCAATTGGAAAAGAGTTTAGCGTTACTTAATTTGAATTAAATTACACATATGCATGTACGTTCATATATAGGGCGCTAACAAATTAAGTATGGATAATTTTATAGCCAATTACTAACCTCAATAGAATCACTTTTACGTACTATAAATGTTAACTAGAATACTACTTAGTGATTAAAACCTCTTTAATGTTATCTTATGAAACCATTTAAGTATCACTCGCCACTGCACTGTTCTAATAAAAAACAATGTCACGGTATTACACCATTTCTTTCTAAATGCACGTAAAGGTTATACTAGATGGAATTGTAAATTCGTTAATATTTATTTGGAAAAATGTTAAATCGCGTAATAAAGTAATTTTGTATTCGATCTTCTGATGGAAATTGACGACTATAAAATGATCCATATCTATTTAATTTGCAAGCACCTTATATATTTAAATAGACAGTTACAGTTGCGTCCTGAAATTTCAATTCAAATTAACTTAAGCTTCTAAGGCGCCGCGCAAACGTGTCTTGTGTTGAATACAAGCAACCTGCAACTAGAAGCTAAAATTCTACAATTGATTATGAAATCGACACAGTGGACGGTTGCGGCAACCGGACACAGTCGCCGGTTGCCGCAACCGCAATTGTATTAAAATAGAATTATTCGCTTCTAGTTGCCACAGTTACGGAATACAAACAGAAGCAATTAAAGTCTGTAGTTCGGAGAAAGCGTTTCTCCAATGTCTAGGGTTTGATTGCCATGACATTGGAGAAACGCGGAGTACGTGCTCAACGTACGTATAAATATATAAATATTATAGTCTGTCTTTTTTGAACATGGAGTAAAATAACAATTCATAGCGCAAAAGTGTTGCCCGCTTGCAAGCACCTAGTGATTACTACTTCTTCTTCTTTCTAGCCATTCTCAACCATATCGGCAACGGCCTCCTTTACTTTCAGCCACCTCTCTCGGTTCTATGCTACCAGTATCCAATTCAACACCGCCACTTTCTTTATGTCAACCCTTCAACGCATCTGCGGTCTCCCTCTGAGGCGTTTTTCACCCCAAGCTTTCGAGTAACATGATTACAGTAGATAAATATTCTGTCGACTATCAACTGAAAGCTGGCCACTCTTAGGCAATAAAAAGCCGCACTTGTTTTATTTGAATCATCAACGACCCATTATTTGTCTAACAGGTTGACACTTGTTTGTGCGACTTTACTTTTTCATAAGTTCATATATTGCATTTAGAACTACGTCTATTAAAAATACAAAGATTAGACATATTTCAAAGTTTTTCATTTTAGTTCAATATAAATAATGAAATCCACCTGTTCTTATTACAAGGTATATGAATAGAAATATATTTATATTCTAAACGGCCGTCAAAATCAGAATAAAAAAGGGAAGAGTGCAATTAATCATCATTAGAACGTTACGACATGTTACGACGAGAATGTTACGACATTCAGAATTCAGACATTTTTGGAACAATTTCACCTTCTTTCACAAGCCATCGATAAAACTGTTGACAACAACTACAAGAGTATTTAAAATTTTATAAAAACTGGCAATCCTGCAAAGGTCATTTTACTCTGTCTTAAAAAAAAGACAGATTATAGACAACATCACATAAGTTGCTCTGATCCCAAAGTAAGTAACTAAAGCACTTGTGTTATGGAAATCGGAAACAACGACAGTACCACAAAAACTCAGACCAGAGACAGTACAGAAAAGTTCGTGCTTTCTTCATCGAACCTGACACATCTCTGAGATATCCGTAACTTTATGAAACCAATTACACAATGTTAAATAAGTATACTATAACCGGGGCTACTAAACTGTGATAGACTTACTAAATATGTCATGAATAAAATTTAAAAACAAAGTTTTATCAATTCAAAACAGCGTACTCTAAAAAGACAATAACGTCATCATCCGCAAGCTAACAACTTGTCTAGACGAATTTAATGAGCCCAAACACGATAGTTCTACAGTAAGAAATTGAGGAGTTAGGTGGTCTGCAGACTGGTCTGGTGGCGCCTAGCGAATGGCCGGTGCTGCAAGACTTTCAGCCACCTGGTCCCACCGTCGTTTCGACCTTCGATCTCTAGGTCGTTTGCCCTCAATCCTGCCCGTGAAAATCACGCTTTCGAGACTCAACGCTTCTGCGTGCAATGTGACCAAAGAATTGCAGAATGCGGAGCAAGCAGGATGACAAATTAGTAACCTACAAATTTACGTCCCCGACGGGGACATGGATATTTGAATATGACATGGTGAATGGTTCAGAGCAGTTCCGACGTAATAAACATTCGACTGGTGCACCAGCCGAATGGCAGGGCAATTCCGTATCGGTAATCATCCGAGTCGAGTCGAACGATTGTTTTCATCCGATTTAGGCGAATTATTAGTATTACTAACATTCAAAGTCGCGCATCGCTGGTGGCAATACCATGCTCTGTATTCTTGTTCTCCATCAGACGTGCGTCCGAAACAATTACTGTCAAATAAATGACCATTGTTCTGAAAAACTGTTTGACATGATGCCAACAGCAACATTTTACCATCGCACCGCTCCGAGTCGATCTCGTACTGTACAGTTTCAGAAGAGCTTTCTCCTACGTACAATTAGGTTGTGGAATGAGTTTCGTTCGGGGTTTTTTCGCAGGAATACAGAAACAGCACGGAGTTCTTTAAAAGGGGTTTGAGAAGAGTCCTACAGGGTTGGCAACGAGCTCGTGACGCCTCTGATGTTGGCGTTCATAGGCGACGGTGATCTTTTTCCATCAGGCGGGCCGTATGTTTGTTTGCTACCTACATAATATATGAAAAAAAAGTAATAATCGACCAAATTAGAAGACTTATGATGCAAATAAAGCTTCATTACTTATTTCACAACAATTATTTTGGAGGGACGACAGACCGAGAACGAGACTTGAGATCAAGTTACCATATCGGCCAAGTGGAAATAAATTTAACATTATTGTTAAATGGCATCCCTTTTTTTCACGTCAGGAAACCATCATAGATACTCTAGAACTAGGGTTATGTTGGACTAATACCGACTAAAACCTGACTTCGCTTTCCAGGTGGGAACACGGGAACGCGATTGCATACTACCCACCATACCATCTTGGGAGACTACATAACGAGTTTTCCACTATGACCTATGCTGATGAGGTACCGAAACATAATGCACCACGTCATCCAGCCTCCGTCAGACACACTAAAGTGGAAAAAGAGCTGATGACCTTTATACGGCCGAACACGATTTCAAAGTCTGCTAATTTTCTTTAAACAATTCCATTGCCTTAATATTCGTTATTCAGTCAAAATCTAGTTGTAATGGCAGATGAATCTCAATAGAGTGGTAGTGATGCAATTCATTAATTAATTCATGATAATAGGAATTATATAATATAAATTTTATAATAGGATTGGGGACGTGCTTTCCGGCTGCAGAGACGAAGAGTGCACACGGTCGTACTTTGCGTCCTTAGGGATACTGACGCTTCCCTGTCTGCTGATACTCCAGATAGCCATGTACGCACGTAACCACTTGTTTCATTTAAAAAAATGGAAATGGAAATCATTAATAAATGATTATGATTATAATAATAGTAGACTCATCTCAATCGTCGTGTCATCGACTCGTCATTGCACAGCAGAATACGAACCGCACAAAATCCTGCCACTGACACTCTTGCAACACACAACTAAGATGATTTAAAATTCTTGAGTTCCTGATGTTCATTTAATAGCTAAGAACTATCTAGAATAAATTAACCTTCGAATAAAAAAGAAACCGCTTAGAAATCTTCACTTATAACTGCCCTATTTGGAATATGTTCAATAAAAGGCGAAACTAATAAGAATATAAATAAATATAATAAGGTTTGTAACAATACGTTTATGCTTGTGATTTTTTTTTATAAAAAAATAAGTGCGCATTTGACATCTATCTCACCTGATCGAAAGTGATGACGAGGTCAACGATGTAGCATGCACACCTAAATAATGCCTATTCACTCAAGGGGGCAATATATATATCTATGCAATATGCCTATGATCAGAATATAACATAACAATACATAATATATATGTAATATAATTATAAAATGAAAAAAAAACATTAATGATGTTACATTAATTAACGTCAACTCAACAAGGCACAAACCTCGTCAAAGTTCGTTCACAAATGGACACGTTGAGAATCGAACCGGGGACTTTCTCATCTAGCACCAACGACGTTAAATAAGTACAGCTTTTGTTAGTATCATCTACCCACAGTTAGACATAGAGCTCTTAGAAAACAAATTAGGGTTGCCTGGAAGAAATTGAAAGTTAGCAATAAGGCCGCCTGTTGTACATTGGCTTACTATGTGATAGTTACATTACTGCTCTGTGTTGTCATTATAATTTTAATGCGCAATAAAGAATATGTCATTCATTCGAATTAAAATAGTTAAATAGAAGTACAAAAAATTATGTATACATTTGTACAGCCTACGCATTTGTTCGTTAACTTTCTTTAGTTAAAAGTAATTTACCTACATTTAACCATGACGCTGCTACACTACCCTTAAGAAAATAAAAATATTTATGGAATTGAATAAGAACCTAAACTTAGCTAACTTCATTTCATGTACGCTGGGTCACGAAAAGCAGTTTAACTGATCTTTATTATACTACACCACTTACGTATCCGGATGACCGCGTTCAAAATGGCCGCTCTTTGACTTTAGAATTTTTATAAAATACACTTAGAATCCCTTCATTCCACTCGTTAAACACTTTAGATGTTTGAAAATTAATTTTACTTTGTAAATAACTAAGTTATGTAAATAAATATTAATGTTTTTTTAATTATTTTTTGCGCAAAAAACGTGTACACTCCGTACGGTAGTTAGCAAGGCACTGAATCAACCGTGCGGCTCGGGGGGAAGGCGTTCCGGTAGCGCGCTGCGGCTCCGGTGCGGCGAGCTGGCAACACGTAGCGTATCGGATGTTGATGAAGTTTGGCAACGTCGCTTGCCTCGATGCGTTCCGTTTTCCGGTACGGTTGGCCTTTGAGATTTCGTTTACGAAACTTATTATGTTGATCTTTGTTCAGTAAAATTTTCGTTTCAAGTTATAATCAAGTGAATTCGTATCAAGGAAGAGTTTTGACCGAAGGGTGTTATATATCTGCGATTCCGCGGCCGATTACCTGACACCAGATTGCGTCACTCATTCCTGTAGGTTAGTTATTTTGTTTATTATATTGTTATATTAAATGAATAAATAATAATTCTGTTTTCAAATTAGATAATTAACTGCCATCGTGGCCGATCGGTTACCATGCCGGACTGCCACGCAGAGGTCCCAGGTTCGATTCCCGGGCCGGGAGAAATATTAGTATGGCCTACATTCATTTCTCTCGTGAGATTGGGTGTAATTTGTGGTTGTCTATGTGTGTGTCCATGGCATCCGCGACACAGGGTTTCCCCAGTGCGGGGCTATGTTGATTGTGAGCGTTATTATTATTATTATAATTCCCTGTAATATGAATACCGGAGCAACGGAATTGACTCTGGGGCGCTTGAGCTTATTAAAGAACAAAATTTCGCACCCTTGATGTAATAAGACCACATCTGCAATTGAAATGAGATTGATAACTTTTTATGCTTTAATAGGAGAATTATAATTATACATTTTGCATGTCGTCGGCTAAATTTGAAAACCTCTTAACTCCGTTTCAGGACGAAAGGAGGTAGGACCATGACCTTCCACTTGCTACGATCCTGATACACATGTTTCGCCTTATCAACATGCATCAATGCTCTCATACACGCTCTTGACCTGACCTTTCTTAAGGACGTCCTCCATTTGATCGTGGTAATTTCGCCTTAGTCGGCCCTCTCCGACTTGTCCATTTATGTAAGTCAAAGATTAGCCCTCTTTACACAGTCACTCTATCGTACATGATTAGGAGCGTACAGGATTGCGGGAAAGTTTGCACGCACAATCGTGAACGATTTCCAGTTTGAATTTTTTCAAGCTAACGTTCTTTTGCGCGCCATTGCTCGTGTTCGTTTTATTTAAATCGGAAAGAGCGTTCTTGTAATGCCCGGAATACACGAGGCTAGTTTTTCAAGCTAAGACAGCAAGCTAGTGCTAGTAACTCTGGCTTCGTATATACAGAACTAGCTTAATTTCTAGGCGAGCAAGCTAGCATCTCAAGCTAGGATAGTTTAATAGGATAGGGTTCTATTATTTGTGTTATTAGCTTCCTCCGCCACTAATTTTACTATCCTGGCTTGTGTACTAGCTAGCTAGATCCGATCAGCTAGTATGCAGTGACGACACATTTTCTGCCGTCCGCCAAAACGAGGCTAAGTGACAAATGGTCAAATATCCGTTTTAAATAGCAAAAGATAGACACAAAATTATCTTTTAAAAGCAATTAAAATTAGGTAACGTCTTCGACTCAGCGGAACTTACCCTAACGACTTATAGCTCAATTATCATTAAACAATTTTAATATTCTAAAACTGGGTTATGGTTTTTTATGACATCTCAAAGCATGAGCATAGTAATCAATTCAAAATTAATACAATTGTACCGTGAAAAGGAATTTCTGTGAAACGTCATTCCATAGTATAAATTATCTACAGTATAAGAATCTCTGCATGATTCCACATTACAAAAAATATGGCTGATTATTCTCTTCGTGCCATCTTCTAATGAAGGTCATGATGGCAATCTGAACTTTGGACACTGCAGCTCTGAATAATGGTCGGGTGCCCCTATTGAACCACTGGCCAGAATATTTTCCTTCTTCCTACACCTCTCCTTCCTTGTATTTTGCCTTGGATTATTAATTGTAATAGGTCGTACTTTGGGTTTTTCAGTATGACCCAGATACTCCAGTTTCCCTCTTCTCATGTTTGCAGCACCCTTTCGTTCGTGACTTTGTCTCTCCACGATACTCTCAACATTCTCCTATTTAACTACATTTCGAAGGCCTCTTCTCTTTTGCACATAGATTCTGTGAGTGTCCAAGCTTCTGCTCCGTACAAGAGAATGGAGAAGAAGCAACAATGAGCCGGTCGAGCTCGGAAGCATAGAAATAATAGTGTTCGTTTTACGAAAACTCTTCATTATTATCCACAGACGTATTGTTACCTAGTCCTTGCAATGATGCTGGCTTAAAATTTACTGGCCTCATGTAAACCGTTCTAACATGTACCAAGCCAGGACAGGGTTACTAGCTTGCTAGCTTACTAGTACTAGCTGCTAGTACTAGCTGCTATCCTAGCTTAGAAAACTAGCCTCGTGAATTTATTTATTTATTTATTTCCATATTGCACATGTACATTAAAACAGGTCTTATAATAAAATTTAGTAAGTATGGTACCTACATGGCCCAGTCTGGGTGTAGCAAGGAGACTAATTATTAAATTATTATACTTATTAAAAGTTCTTTTATTAAGTATAATAATTTGTTGTTGTTATTTACCAGTGCAAAATTCGTTTATAGAGTAGCATGCTTTTTGGATGAGAAATTGCTTTAGCTCATTTTTAAATGTGTTAATATTATTTTCTTTTTTGAATTTTATTATATATTAAAATAGATCTGTACAAGGGACTATTTTTGCATATTTCTAATGTAGGTTCAGGGAGGATCAGGTTATACTGGCAACGAGGATTTTTATTAAATTCAAAATATGTTGATTGCTTACGGACAAACAATGCTACTTTCATGATGTAGCGATGTGAGAGTTAACTTGTTCTCTTTAATAAAGTGTGGTCTACAACTTTCTCTTTGATGGATATTTACAATAATAATAATAATAATAATAATAATAATAATAACTTGCGAATAAGCCTGATATTGTGATATTGGATCGATCGCAGTCGAGGGTATTTCTTGTGGACGTCACCATCCCGCATGACGAGGGTCTCGTGAAAGCTGAAACCGAGAAACGCCGGAAGTATCTCGACCTGGCGCACGAGATCACCGACATGTGGGATGTGGCCTCCACTGAAATAATCCCAATTGTTTTGTCCGCAAATGGGTTAATTCCAGTCAGCCTTTCTAACAGCTTGAGGCGGTTGGATTTCTGTGGCGTGTCGCTTCCAGCACAAATGCAGAAGGCGGTCCTGCTCGATACGGCACGTATTGTTCGCCGATTCTTGGACCTGAGTCCCTGACCCCGGCCGACTGTGCCATTGCCGGGAAATACCGCCTCTCCCATTTAAAAATTCAAAATTAATTTTTTAGGCCTTGGGAGAGGCGAGAGTTTAAAATAAATACGAAAATAATAATAATAATAACGCACACACTCAACATAGCCGTAGTGTAACCATGCGGTTACTTATCAGTAGTCTGAAATTATATTTTCCAGAAATAATGTTTGCTCGAATTTTCATAACCTCGCAAGTAATTTTGAGAGGAAAATGTTTTTTCTTTTAAACTTAACCTAACCGAACCTATTGTGTATTTGCGTTATTTCGGAAAAAAAATTCGAGTTTGTGATAGTTTACGCATGCATACACATACGTATAATGTGCAAATAAAGCATGCGTGTGTACATACGTGTTATTTTTAGGACTAGTATTCCGGGTATAAGGGCTAATAGCGCAGGATAGACAGCATGTCGTGGTGAATGTTCACCGATCCCACGGTGCCGACTTAACAGGCGAGAGGGAAACCCGGGGGGGTTTTAGTGGGGTAGGCCTTCCAGTCTGGAGGGAGAGTCCCCACATAACCCCTGAGTCTCCCTGGGCTCAGGGGTATCCATAAAGATTTCTCCCCGTCAAAAAAAAAGAAAAAAGATAGACAGCATGAAACTGGCGTGTGTTGGAGTGCGCAGCTCATGAGCTCAATAGTGTCTGTTTAGAGCCCGCTAATATTACTAAAGCCCACATGCTACAAATGATTACTTACATAAGGTCGTCTTTTTGTCCTTTCTCGTTATTTCAAAATTAACATTTTAGCCAGACATCGAAGCGATTATGCTCTTTATTCTTCTCCATACAAAGGTTCGAACAGGCGCCGAAATATCAATTATACGTCCAATAATATAATCTTTATTTCTAAAGTGTTATAGCTCCATCGGTAGAATCGATTATTCCACCAACGTCAAGGTTGAGAAAGACATGCGTTTATTGTTCGCATTTTACCCGTAAATTGCCGATAGCAGAAGAGAATCTAATCGAAATGGACCATAAAAACTGCACGTGACAAATGACAAAGTCAATAAAAAATATAAACATCTGTCAGATTTGTGGAAGTTTCGATAGCTTCCATCTACTTAGACTATTAAAAAGATTTATAATTTATTTCTCGTTTCAAATTTAAAAAAATATGTATTTCACACATTGACTTACAAATAAATGGACGACGGGTCTAATACAAAAAC